AAAAGGCATGAACATTTTTTTTGTATCGAAAAAATATCGAACCTTGACACAAAAGTATCGAACCGAACTGTGAATTTTGTGTATCGTTGCACTCCTACTTTTTACCCTTCAGCACCTCAAGTTCAGTTTGATTTGAAGAACTCAGGGAGCATTTGATCCTGAAAATTGGCTATTTCTGTTAGGCTTAATAACAGGATAACCTATATCCTTTTTGCACAAATCTGAAGTTTGGTAGACTAAGACTATATTTGAGAGTATAATTGTAATGCCATTTCACGTTAAAATGTTCCTTTAAAAACCAGTGCGTAACTATGAGTACGCTGCTGGCTTACCTTTTTTCTCTATGTTTCCTAACACTTATTATTAGACTACTGTGCCCTTCAAACACTGGTTTTATAGTAACAGTTTATATCTAAGAGGCCACATAAATTACTTAAGAACTTGTTTTTCTCTATACTTTAATTGTGTCGTGCATTTTCATAACGATTCCTTAATGCATCACTGGAATCACTGCCACCTACTTGTTTTGGGCTTTTAAATACGGAACTCACCATCTGTCGCCAATGTTCCTTCCTCCCCTTTACTTCCTCTCTTTCCTGGTGGCTGAGCAGAGCACCACTGAGGAATTCAGCTGTCAGTTTGACAATCGGTTAAAAGGGCCATTAACCCGGCTCTGCTTCCTTGAGGTGGTTGTCATGGTAATGAAGTTGGTGTCAAAACAGTCAGTAACAGCAGGTGGCGTTCTGTTTTGGGAGCATAAGAGAAGGTGTGCTGTGACAGATGTTGCAAGGCAGGTATGAGCTTTTTGGTGCCTGGTTGAGCTCCCTGTGTGTGTGTGTGCGTGTGTGTGTGTGTGTGTGCTTGAGTCAGGTTGAAAACTGTTCTCTCTCTCTTTCACTCTGTTAACTGAGTCAACAATTTCCTTGCTGCATCAGACAGTTGGTTTTCATCCCAACACAGACTGCAGCACATCTGTCAGCCGACGGAGAAGACAAACACTTTAATACTTCCTGTTTCAATTGAGACCACAAAGATGCTCTCCATTTAAATCCGAGAATCTGCTCAATGCTGCAATGTTTCATTTTGGTTCAGTTAAAGCAGTTGGAGAAAAATTGCTGCAGTGATGTCCACCTGATCTGTGACTTCATTGTTTCACTTGCACTGGTTTTCCTGCTCAGCTATTCCTATTTTATTCATGCAGCAGCTCATGTCTCTGCTGCATAAAATCCACCTGAATGTACAGGAGTTACTGTTTTTCTCAATAGCTGACTCAAAATCAGTACTCTCTGGTGCAAAATAATTCATTATTTGGTTTTTGTACATTTTTCCAATAAAGCCAAATAGTTTTTTGTTTCTTTCACCCCTTCTGGCCAAAGTTTTAGAAGGACAAATATTGTTTAAGTTAGTATTGTGTATGTTTAACTTTGCATGCTAAATGGCCTGTATTTGTATAGCGCTTTACTAGTCCCTAAGGACCCCAAAGCGCTTTACATATCCAGTCATCCACCCATTCACACACTGGTGATGGCAAGCTACATTGTAGCCACACTGACAGAAGCGAGGCTGCCAAACACTGGCGCCACCGGGCCCTCTGACCACCACCAGTAGGCAACGGGTGAAGTATCTTGCCCAAGGACACAACGACTGAGACTGTCCAAGCCAGGGCTCAAACTGGCAACCTTCCGATTACAAGGCGAACTCCCAACTCTTGAGCCAAGATCGCCCTTACGTCACTCATAGTTTTCATTTTCAGCTCCATGTTTTTATTGTCGCTAGTAGAGAGGCTTCTTAGCAGTTCAAAATAATTTTCATTTATCTTATGTATTTCAGTTTATCCACTGTCAGGTTGTTTGCTGCTGGGTGAAATTGGTTGCAAAAAACATACTATTGACTTGGTCACTGTCACTTGTTTGCAAGGAGATGACAACATGTCTGCAACTACTCAACAACTAATTATTAAGCAGTTGTGAAACTGAAGAGTTCCCATTCAAAGTAAAATTTATGCCTTACCACTTCAACAAATAAGGCTTTTAGTTTGAAGCTGAACAGCCTCTGGTTTCTTCCAGTTGGTGGTTAGTTAGCAGAAAAGTTGACTGCTTCAGTGCAGCTAATGCCAGAACACAGGTAAATGCAGCAACCTAACGAGCAACCAAGTAAACACAAAGAGTACCCTCGTTCCAACTGATTTCACAGAGCAATAGCCAGCACCCTCTAACATCTTCACCTCGTTTTTCAACTAGCCAAGGATTGCACATTTTTCTCTGGCAGCAATCTCTAGGCCTGTGTGACTGAGGTCTTATATTAAAGATATCACCTTTCACTGACATCATACAGTTCAGCAAGTAGAAAAACTATTTACACCACTCTGAAGCGGGAGTTTCTAGATCATCACCATTCAGCAATACTTCTACATACACTGACATCATCATTGGACGCTTTGGTTATTTTTTGCATGTGAGCATGAAACATACATTATGTGAAAAAGAACATTTTAGTACTGTCGAGAGAAGTGGGGCAGAGAGAGATTGAAGTCCCCCTGACTTTCCCCTGTCATCACATCTGAGAGGTGGTAAAAGGTTTCAACATCCAGCCTTATCTGTTAAACATGATCAGAGTGCTAAAATAGCACTATTCCTTACTTGCTAGTAGTAAATTCCCTTTATTCTCAATCAAAGATAAATCAAAATAAAAATGTAGAAAAGATAACAAATATTGTTTAGTACTGATCAGAATAGAATCAGGTATGTTAAAATTAAGTACGTTTAAGTTTAACCCATATAATAAATAAAAAAAAATATGGTTTATGAAATTATACTAATAACAGGCTGCACTGTGAGGCTGTATAGAAAAGGCCTTCAGAAAACTATCTATTATAACAGCTAGAATAATTAGCTCTTCTAAAAAAAATTCTTCCTAGGGTCTCTTTCATTCTTCGGATGGACCTTGAGGGCATGGTAGCACACTTAACACATTTTCCTCCTATCCTGACTCTACAGCCAAAACTGTGAGGATCAAAAGAATTTGATTTGTCACTGAACAGAGGGAAACAGGGGACATTAATGACAGTTACTACAGTAATCATAATACTTACTCATAATGCATAATACAAACACTTTAATTTAGTGTTGAACTAGATTAATGCGAGCCTTCTTGGCTTCTCATTGGTTTGTGCAGTACAGCCAATAAATGACAAAATATCAAATCACATTCTTTCTATATTTAACACATTACATTAATTTCTGAATTGGGAATGATTGTGAGCTGGATGAGCTACTAGATCACTGAAATTAAACGTCCATTTTTAATATAAACTTTGTTTAAAGTAATCCTTGGAATTATTATAGGTCACTAAAAGCACCAACTGTTTCATAGTTTCTTTGCACCGCAGTTGAGCATTATTAGGAGGTCGATGTCTTGGTCATTGTACTGCCTCTTTGAATCTCATTCTCAGCCAGTTCTTCCTTCTGTTTTATCCACAGATGTACATCCAGACGGCGACACTGACGGTGTCTCTGAGCCTCAGTGCTTCTGTCTCTCTGGGCATGCTCTATATGCCAAAGGTGTACATCATCATCTTCCACCCCGAGCGGAACGTCCCCAAACGTAAACGCAGCTTCAAGGCCATCGTCACCGCTGCCACTGTGACCAGCAAGCTGTCACACCTGGCAGCTGAGCGGCCCAACGGCGAAGTGAAGACAGAGCTTTGTGAGGGTATGGAAGCTAGTGGTAAGTGTGACCAGGAGATGTTTGATAGCTGGCATTAAAAGATCAGGAGGAGACAGGGAACAAGATGATCTAGTTAAACATTATCCTTTAAATTATGGTAAAAGTATTGTTGTTAGAATCAGTTAGAACGGGCAGATGTGCAAGAAAATATATATTTTGTTAAAATAGAGTTTTTTTCTTCTCTTCAGTAATAAGCATTTAACATGAAGTGGCTGGAGTTTATTTACATGTCACCTGAGACTGGATTTGAAGCCAAAACTGCTTATAGCTTAGAGTTACACTTCAAAGCTCCTTCTTAGTCCATCAGCAGAAAATCATGAGACGTCAGATTGTTTACTCATTCGAGATGTGCTGACTGAATTGCTCTTCTTTTTTTAACAAGCAGGAGCTTCCACATCACTTTTAATTTCTCTGCCTTATAGAAGGCTGATGTTCTTACAGGATAAAAGAGGTCTTCTTTTATGCTGCAGAAGTAATAAACATTCAATTTTCCAAGAGAAATAAGAATTAAGGTGGTATACAGAATATAATTATCAGTCATTTTTTGGTCTCAGTAGAATCCAAGAATTATGTTAGAATTATTCAAATCATAATCTTACCATATAGGTATATACAGCGAACTGTGGCTAAAGAAGATTGATGAAACCATAAGAGACAAAAAAAAATACCAATAGAGAAGAGTGAGAGTTGTCTGTTGCTGTTCTAATATCTCAACTCATAAACCTGCTGTTTTCTATCCTCTTGTTAGTGCCACCTCCAAAAACGACCTATGTGAGCTACACCAACCATGCGATGTGAAGATATAACAACTTTGGCACAAAGACCTTTTGGGACATTTAATATGCACATTTTTGTCAGATTTTGAGGAAAGGACACCACCACAGGCTATGACGGAAACAAGGTACTCTGAACAATTTCAAGATCAGAGGGAGTCTGTGGAGTTTTTTGTGTTTGTTTGTTTTTTTTCTGTTTACAGACAGCAGGGAACAGACCTCAGCGGAGCAAAAAGCCTAAAAATAAAGTAAAATCCATCTGAAAAACATTAAGGAAACAAGAAGATGGTAACTGGAGACTCAAGCAAGATTTTTGTTTAAATACATTTTTTAAAAATCTTCTGAAAGAAATTGTGGGGACCAACTGTGTTTGTTGTTATTCTAATTGTATGTTGACAACAAAAACAACTTAATAGTGGTTGTGAAAATTCTGATTTTGTCTGATGTTGTGTGTCCATTGACGTGCATTTTTAGATGATACTGTCACTGTTTTTGACTAACTGGTTGGCAGGTTTTGGTTGTGATATGATTAAATGCCATGGTTTAACTAACGCATGCACTTTTTATACAAAGGCTCTATTTATAATAAAAGAATGTTTCTCAAGTTGTAGCCATTGTTTGTTCTATTTGAAGGGGGAAGTCTGAAAAAGAATAAATGGACAAAATTAAAACTTTTCTTTACATAATGGCTGTGGCAACTTTTTGATTTCCCATTTATTTCAAACTGGCGTTGTCATCTCAATGACAAAAAGTTTATGTTATGGAAACACTGCTGATTCCTAAGTGCAAGGCTTCAGGAGTGCATTTTCTTAATGTTCTTGATAGAGGGTGGGTTGATTTCTTATGTCAACATGCAACCTGGTGTTAGGGAAATGCTACTGAATAAAATAAGTGTATATTAAGGTGGTCGTAGATTCAAAAGTGAATCCAATTAATGTCCTAAACATCTCTTTCTAAAGACCAATAGGGCCAATTTGTTAGCAAAAGAAAGAGTCTTTAAAGTGGACATGGAAGGTTAATTTGAAACATGGAACCCTACTCTACAGTCTTCTTCATTTACATTTGGGCTTCAATTCTCCTCCCTTTTAATATGAAGTAATCCACTCAGTAAGAAGTAGTGATATAAGAAATTCTTAACCAAAGCATGTGAATAAGGTCTCCAAAAGTATGGCATCTCTTCTCTGGAGGCTTCTTTTCTTTTTGGTCTGTCACACACACGTCAACCTATTTTCCCTAAAGACCTGCTGATGGATGTTAGGATTCCTAACATGGTTCAATAAGAAATTTGGTTATGTTTGTGTTGTGACATATATGGTAATCTGAACGTATAGAGTGTTTGTATGTGCTTGGGAAAAATACTTTTATTGCATAAAATAGTGCTCACCATATCTTATGGATATCTGCTCTGCCAGCTGATTGTGCCACTGAGTCCGTTGACCTGACCCAACAAGGAAAAATCAAAAAATCAACACTGTCAACTTAAACAGACTCTTCTCCACACAAACATCATTTTTAAAGTGCTCTAAAAACCTGGGCATTACAGCAAACAGGTGGATTCTCTTTTTTCAGTGTGGCTAGCCAGTAAAAAAATTCTATTTACAAAATTAAATACAATCACACCTCTCCAGGTCTCACTGCCCCATTGCCCACCTGACCATTAAAGCCAGGGACTCCAAGAAGGCTGGATACAGCGTAAACCACAGTCACAACCTGTTTGCGGCCCAAAGGGGCAAGTAAACAACCCTGCTGATGAAAACTTTAATGTGCAGGCAGCAAGCCTCCTGCAGGTAGTGGGCCTACATGAGCTCATTTGTCAAAATGGTTACAGATATTTTTCTATTGTTTATAATAGATAAAAAAAATTCCACCAGTTAGTAAGCTCAATTGCTAAGGTTTAGCGTAATCTTTCATACTGGAAATCTCTTTAGTTAAATTTATATTCCAGCAATGCAGTGCTCTATTAATAGTAGTAATAGTATAGTGGATATTCTGTCAGGGT